TTGTTTCTTGTACTTCCATTATTTCTTCTTCAGAATTGTTTTTTCTTTTGAGCCGATGGTCTATCGGAAACAACCTCTCTCCCTCTAAGATAGGGGTAAGGTCTGCATACACTCTTACCTTCCCAGCCCCACTTTGTGAGACTACACTGGGAATGATGCATTGATTTCTTGTAACTATTTTTTTAATGTGGCCAAATTTGGAATCTCTTTCCCTGTAGCCCTGTCTTTTGAGAAAACTGTAAGCGCTATTTGCAAGTAAAAGGGCTTTTATAGCTGGTGTAGCTGATGATACTGGATATCGGTGGGCTATTGCTAAGTCCCTGGATGCTGCAGGTGCCGTAATTCTAGTTGGAACCTGAGTGCCAGTAATTGAAATTTACAATTCCTTGTGGTATATCTTCAAATGTTTTAACGCTTTTGCCTTTCTTTGCATGCCTTAAAACATTTTTGAAAACAAGTCTGCAATGTGGGTAGTTTGATGAATCACGGGTATTAGAGTCTAAATACATCTTTGTCAGTTTGCCAGATGGCTCTTTGATGGAGATTTCAAAAGTACACCTGAGGATGTAATTTCAAAGCATATGGTTGTGTAATTTCTTTTTTTTGTTTCAATTGCATTATCCTAAAACTGTTTTTTCCTCACCATGCAGATTAAAGCAAATAAGCGTTACACTGGTTCTTCTAAGTGGACAGTTTCGGTATGTAGTTCTCCACATTCACACTTTTTGTGCATGCTGAACACAATGAGTAAAACTCAAACAGGGTTGTGCACACTAAAGAGCCAGAATGTATAATAAGTAAAGCGCGCATCTTGATTGTTCTTGAGGTACCTTTTCAGGGCATGATTCTGCATACTGAGTCGTGGGTCTATCGGAAACAGCCTTCTCTACCTTTGAAATAGGGGTAAGGTCTGCATACACTCTAATTCTGCATGCTGAGCCGAGGGTCTGTCGGAAACAACCTCTCTACCTTTGAGGTAGGTATATGGTTTGTTTACACTCTACCCTCTCCAGATCCACTTTGTGGGAGTACACTGGGTATGTTGTTGTTGCTGTTCTGCATACTGAAAGCAATTGAATCAACCTTTCTTTAAAATCCAGTGTGTCTATCAATCACATTTTCCTTGTGGTTGTTGTAGTGGACAAAAATAGCATGTCCCCGACATGTATCATACTACAAGTCCCAAAGTAGACCCTTCTGCTACAAGGTTAAGTGCCTGTCTCCGACTCCTCATACAGTCTATCCCCTGACAACCGTCTCACAAAATGAAGAATCCTTTACGTACGTAACAAATGACTAAACTCCATGTTCCACACAATCATTCTGTGCTTCCTACGAAACAGCACGTGGGCCACCTCTTCTAAGTGTCTAGCCCATGATAACATCCAACTGAACCCCAGGACTGGATTGTGGGGGTAGAATCCCCATAGACTCCTCAACCACCTCCGTTGTATTTTGGTTGCATAACCAGGCATGACAACGGTTATATAACACCAATAATATAGAGACCCAACTAAGATTGGATTCCACAAATAGGAAACTCGCCCATACAAACAAAGCTCATGATCGAACATTAGACTCCTCACGCTTCATATGATCCATACAGTCACAAATCACAAATACAGATTTCATCTCCTTTAGATACATTCTGCCATATCTCTTAACTTAAAACTTTCTTGATACGTATCACTGTATTAAGGAAGCGTTATACGATCATGGATGCTAAGTAAATAAAATCATAGGCTCTCTCTGTTTATATTTACTTGTTCTAGATATCTGTTATTTCATTTCTTTACTATGTTTTACTGTATTACATTGAGGGGCTCCCGGAAACAGCCTGTCTACCTCCACGAGGTAGTGGCAAGGTCTGCGTACACTTTACCCTCCCCAGACCCCACCTAGTGGGATTTCACTGGGCTTGTTGTTGTTGTTGTTGTTGTTGTTGTTTTACTGTATTACATACTGCTGGTGCCTCAAGCTAATGAAGAACGGCCATAGAGAAATTTCTTTTTACCGTAATGATCCTGGCTCGACACATTAAATTTTCACTCTTTTTTATGTTAATGAACTATATATATTTTCCTGCTTCAGATACTTCCTTTTTGAACCGAGGGTCTATCGAAAACAATCCCTTCTACCTCAGGAAGTGGTGGTTGTTGTTGCCCGATGGAATTGTGTACTCTTAACCTTCTTTGCTGAATAACAATAGTAGTGAAATGAGGATTTGACTTTTTTACAAGGTATGTTCCACATTGTGCTATGTTTTATCATCCTTTGTGTGAATTAAAATTAGTTTTGTCTAGGATCTGACTTTCTGGGTATCTATTTTCTGTCTACTAAATACTTAAGATTCTTATTGAGAATTAGGTAACTCACCAAAGGGTGGGGGTCATCCTCATTTCATTTCTCTTTCTCAACAAAAGATGATATAATAAAAGGGTGGGGATTAGGGAAGAAGGTGTAGTAGGTAATCGAGCGTTGTCCCACTTTACGTGGGAGATAAAGGGGGCTAGCTCCATCTCTTCTCAGCTTATTAGTAGTAGAGTTCTGTAATCACGTAGTTTCTTATTCTTCAATGTGTTTTACTCTCGGTTGCTTCCTTTTCTTGGTATCCTGATATTTTGTTGTCTTATTTTCTTGCAATGATGCTTTGAGTAACTTCTCTTTTGAGCCGAGGGTTTGTCAGAAACAACTTCTATCCTCCACACCACAAGGGTAAGAAGTAAGAAGGATAAGGTATGCGTACATCTTATCTTCTCTGGACTTTATTTTTGTAATTACACTATGTTGTAAAATAAAGGGGTGGGGTAACAGAAATAAGTTGACCACCTTGTCAGCCGCCTTTGACTAATTTTGCTTGTCCTTCTCAAATAATTTCTTAATAAATATATGTATTTGGTATAATGAGTATTAATTAGGTTATAAGCACTTGAAAATAACAACTTTGTAATTTTATTAAACATGATGTAACCAACTGATAAGCTAGTTTTAGCTAATTTCTACCTCACGCAACTATATCACTATTTAAGTCATAGGTTGCTAAATAATTCCAATTATATTCATCACATGAAATAAACCAAAAGCATCACTATCAATCTTGCATGATTAAAAAAACTATCAAAAATATTTTGGAGAGTAACTCAAACTATATAAATAAACAGAATCAAGATTTGAAGTTTATGAGTTGTGAACTTGCGATTAAAATTGGCGTTAATAAATATCTTCTTCGGTTTTCAATAGATTACTTATTTTCAACCTATTATTTCTAATATAAAAGAAATAAAATCACTTGTAGATTGGGTCCAAATATGTTTTTTTAATCCTTAATACGAGTGCTAATCCTTTCATTAATTTAATTTTTTAAATTTGTTCAAACGTGCAGCTGTTGCTTAATATGTTGGGAGTATGAGATTCTCTGTCTTTATTGGAACTGGTCAACTTGATAATGTCTTAGTTGTAAACACAAAAAAGCTACAACCTATTTGACTTTATTGCTTTATGTTTGAAATTCCTATGGAAACACACACCAGATTTGTCTTTTGACTTCAACACCTACAATTATTACCTTTTTTAAAAGTTTATATTTTCTTCTGACATAACTTAAAATTAATATGAAATTTGAAAAAGAAAAAATAAATAAATACTTGCAATTGAAAACATATTTTATCTCTATTTCTTCACTCATGTTATTTTTTTTTTCTTGAGTTGTCGGTATATAGGAAACAATCTCTTTACCCTCTCTACTCTGAAGGTAGGAGTAATATCTGCCTACATACTATCCTTTTCAGACTTCATTTGTTGGTCTATACTGAATATGTTATGTTATTATAATATAAATTATGTGATTTATCAAAAATAATATCTACATCTTATTCTCTTCAGAATTCATTTGTGAGGTTATATTAATGTGTTTTATTGTTGTAATCTATAACATATTATAACATTTATGAGGGTATAGGAATTTTGAACTCATGTTTTTAAGTATATCATAACATTTATATAATGTTGTAAAGTTAATTGAATAAAACATATCACATAAATTGAAATAAGATAGAAACATTAATTTTGGGAGGCACAGTCACCAACTGTGTCGCCAGGATCAATGCTTTAAGAAAAAAGTTTTATTCCACATTTACTTTTGTGGGATTTTTACCCAATAACTAATCTTTTATTCTTAACGAATGTCACCTTTTGTATCTTTTTTTTCACCTTTAGTTTATATTCTTACAATGATTAATTGAGAATATGTACCCTTTGCACAAATTTGAATTTATTAGGAGCATGATTAATGGTTATTTAATCATGAATTAGTATGGTCCAAATTCAAACCTTTTGGGATTTAATCAAAATCTAAAACTGGAATAAAGTTAATTTCATTTGATCAACAAACATATCGACAACACCAAATGCCTGGCCATAAAAAGAACGAAAAAGACACTTCCCCTGTTTTCACTAATCTCTTTATTTACTCTTTTTCTTTGCTGCCAGTAAAGTTTTCTCCTTTTTCTATTGGTAACGCCGATGACAAGATCTTAAAAGGGGGCCGGGTGATCATATCAGAGTCATGATCGAACATGAAAATTATTTGGTGGTGAGCTTAGTTAATAAATAAAATTGCACCGGAGAGGAGCATTATTGAGTAAAACTAATATTCTATCTATAATAAATCCACGAGGGGAGGAACTGAGATAATCAGGATCGAAGTCATGATCAAACATGACACATGCTTGATAAATTTAGCTAAAACCTAATATTATGCAATTGCTATCACCTATAAATTTTGACATGATAGAAATTTAACTAAAACCTAATATTATCCAATTTCTTTTAAAATTGTAACAAGAAAACAAAACATTTCAAGGTAAAAATCTAAGAAAATCCCCACAGTTCATTTGCAACCAATAATTTACCATTTTTCGCGTAGCAAACAAGCAAAGAATATCATTCAACATGCAGCCGTCGTAATGAGAGTGGAAGAAAATTCAAATCACTACACGCAATTTACGCAACAAAATGATCATATCATATAAGCCGTAAAGGATATTTGTACATATTTTTTTCATATATTTACAAAAAAGTGAATTGACTACAACCATGACTCCACTCAACAACTAATAAAGGTTTTTTCCTTCATTTTTTTAATCTCTTCATCAAAGCCGCCCATATTGACATTTCTAAACCACCCCAAAATGGACAGAAAATCCTAAAAATTTTCTCCTCAAACTTCTTCATACTTACAATACCATTCTCCAAGAGGGTTTTTACCCACCTTACTAGAACAACTCCTAATTTTTATCTCATAATTATTTACTTGGGTTAAGAACAACACAACTCTCATTTTTTTACTTACAGACACTTAACAGACCCTTTTAAACAATATTTACATTAGGCAAAAAGGATCCTTTTATCATTTTCAAAATTCCTGTTTCTCCTCCTCCTGGTGATGCTAAAAACCAAAGGTTGATTACTCTCTTTGTGAAAACGAACTTCAAATTACCTCTATATTTACTCTTCTCTTCTGTTGAAACGGATTTCGGATTTTGGATTTCGAGGGTTTGATTAAGCCAGGGCAGGGATGCTGCAGTTACGGCGATCCCTGTCGAGGCAATCAAAGCCCTCAACTCTAACGGCTGGATTGTTGCCAAAATTCGCCCTCACGCATCCACCTTTTCTGGTGGATGTGGATGGGGACGAAGCCAGTCCGGATGGTATAGGAATTGCCCGTGGTGAAACTGGGGTGACCTTCTCATCACCAAAACGTGCATCTTGAATTAATGGGTTAGATACTCTGCTCGGCGGTGACCCACAAAAAAATGGGGGCGACGAGGCTACCTGTGCAGCAGATGATTGATCCGCACCACCACCACCCTGTAACAATTTTCAGAATCAATAATCAGCATATGTTTCATATAACTACATCCTGTTAAGAGTTTTAGATTGACTTTAAACTGATCGTAAGCACCTGATTAACTTCGTTAAAAACCATTTTCGGACATGTCCATTCATTCTAAGCCACTCAAATTAAAGAATAAGATGAAACTCACCAATCTAACACCTTACAATGACAAGTACATGGTGCTCACACACTTAGACAAATTCCCTTTACTTTCAATGCGTCCACACAATGTCCTCGTTTTTTACACTTTGTGAAGGTAGAGACGAACTACGATTAACAATTATTTAATATACATAGTAATTGAAGAGCAACGAACTACCTTCGCGAGGATGATGTCCAATAGCTCAGCTCCAGCTCTGGAATCACATAGCTCTTGCTGATGGCTGTTGAACAAACAAATTTAAAAATTAGAAAAACAAACAGAATGCTTCAGTAAACTAAAAACCAATCAGGGACAAATTTTTTACCTAACATGCCATCTGAGAGGTCTGATAGGTTCGGTTATGGTGGCGTTCAAAAGGCCGAGACGCCGTGGCTTGGGGCAAACAACGGCGTCCTTTTTATCAGAAATTGAAGAAACGGAGCTCCACATGTCTTCACAGGCTGCGAAAGCACCTTGTTGAATTGCACAGTGATTCATCTTCTCTCTGGTTTGATAATAAGATCTAATTGACAAAAAAAACACCTGTTCCAGGCAAAAACAAAAAAGAGAGGAATTTTAGGCAAGAGCTCAGAGATTTTTTTTTTTTTGCAGATCTGGAGTAATTACTCAACTAATAATAAATAAATTTCATATGAACTATGAGATGAATTTTTTTTTACAGATCTGGACAAATGATTAAAGGAATCGAGAGGCGGAGATACGCATGTGAGTGCTTTTTGACCTTTTCGTTGAGACAAACGAAGAAGCAGCCAGCAAAATCAGAAATTAGAGCGAAAATCAATTATTTTGAGAAGTGATCAATTCGCAGAAACGCCTAAAATTCATGGCACATACAGCTTCTGAGAATAAATTAAAGATGTATTCGACTGAAAAACTAGAGATCTTCTTAATTTCTTCATAGATCTACGCTTCCTCTATGATTTTCAAACAAATTAGGTAAAGCGCAACAGACGGAAATTATAGTTAACAAATCAAACTTCCACACAATAAAATTACTGCAACGAAAATTAATCAATCGACTTATCAGCTAAAGTTAATTGGATTTACTTCGAAAACACAGCTCACCTATTCAATTTTCCACATAATTTACAAGTAATTTTCAAGCTATTTTTGCATCAAAACACAATCTCAGGCAAAAAAAAAATCCTCAAAAACGCATACAACACACAAAAAGCAATTTCTCCAGCAAAATCAACCAAACTACTAACAAAAATTCTTCAAATAAAACCAAAAAATTGTCAAAAATAAATAAAAAATCAGCTCAGATGAACAATAACAGTAGAACAATAAACAAAACAGTTTCAAAACAGCTCGACGAAGAACAAAACATCAGCTCAACCAAATTTCTTCCCAAAAAACGCATACAACACACGGAAATCAATATCTCCAGCAAAATCATGCAAACTACTAACAAAAATCTTCAAATCAAACCAAAAAAATGTGAAAAATACAAAATCAGCTCAGAATTCATATAATCGTAACAAAATTGAAACGCTGTAGAATTAGAGAAACAAATCACTTCCAAATCAGTTCGAAAAAACAAAAAAACAAAAAATTCAGCAACTCATAGAGAGAATAATCAAAACTTACTTGAGCAAGCTGTACAGAAAAGTGAAGAAACTGGTTCCTCTGAAAGGAGAATTTTCCAAAGAAGAATTTTATAATTAAAGAGAGAGATAGAGAAGAAACGGCCAGTCTTTTTAGACAAGAGTAACGAAGGATAATAAGGAGAAGCTCTATGACTTTTTATAATACAAGATGAAAGAGAAAAATATCAAAACTTTATAATATTAATTTAATTTAATTTAACTTTTTTAATTGGAAAAAAAATAAAAGAGAAAATTCGTGTATTGGGAGGCAAGATCTGCAACACCTGCAAATGTTTTAAAATAAAGAAATAAAGAGAGCAAAAAAAAAAAAGAAAATATTTTTTTAATTTTAATTAATATTTTAATGGGTCATGCAGGCGGTGCCTCCCAGCAAGAAATCTCATCGTTTTTCGTACCCAACTCCTAACTATAGTAAGAAAAAAAAATGATTTTTGAAAATAAAAACAAATTTTATTACTACGTATAATACTCCCCCTCTGTCCCTAATTACTTGTCCACTTTTGAATTGACACATATATTAAGAAATCAATTAACGATATAGTAAATTTATCATTTTACCCCTATTAATTATGTAGTGGATGAAAAGTTCTGCATTTTTCAAAGTAATTAGTCATTTAATTGAGGATATAATAGGTAAAAAAAAATTATTATTTCTTAATTTGTTAAAATAGACAAGTAATTAGGGACAACTATAAAAGAAAAAGTGGATAAGTAATTAGGGACAGAGAGTACATTTTTCTTATCAATATTTTCTTATTCAATCTCGTTGCATCGTATTTAGCTAGTACAATTAATGTTAATGTGTGATTTGTGTTAGGAGAAAAAAAAGAGAAGGAAAATACTACATAATCAGAATATATCATATATATTATTATTATCTATATTTTTAAAATATTATGTATTTTACTACTAATTAAGAGTTTGCTATTATATATTGAGTAAAATAAACTTAGATACATATATTTTTACTAGAAAATGCACAAAAATAGGAAGAGAGGCGAGCAAGATTTGGATGTATTTCAGATGCATGTAATCACACTAGATACATGTATCTGGGATTCTAAATACACTGGAGAGTGGAGAACGAGATGTGAGCGAGATGCTAGAGAGGCAAAGAAGGCGAGGGAGATTGGTTATGTATCCAAGATACATGTGAATCAATTTGAATGCAGTGTATCTAAAATAAATTACATCTAATTTTGACATCATGTATTCTCTAAATATATGTATCTGAGCGTATCTGGGCAAATCAAAATCTGCTAAAATACGTAATATTACAAACTAGAATATACCTAAATATTAACTGATAAACTAGTGAAATTTACGTAAGTTTTTTATTAAAATAATCCATAGTCTAACTCCTAACTTCAATTCTAACCGCTAACCGGTACGTAAGCTTTGTACTCTCTGTCAGAGGAACCACGTGGCATGTCGGGCTTACGGCGTTTTAACGACGTTCCGTTTGGGTAAACCGCCATGAGAACGTCGGCCAAATTTATTCAAACTGTGATTTTGCAATAGAATTAAATTAAAATATAATACTGTTAAATATAACTCTCTTAATACTTAACAATTAAACATAGTAAATTACTTTAATTTTTGACTTATTTTAACCCATTTTTTATAAGTGTAAAAACGTTAGGTAGAGTTAAGGATAATGTATAAAAATAAAAGTAAGATTTATATACATCTTATTTTCTTCTGATCCAATTTAAAATTATACTAATCATATATCAATTATTGTAAACACGCCAAAAAATCGTATCAGCTAATAGTGTGTACGAAAAATTAATAGAGCTAGCGATATTGACAACGTTATTATAACTATGATCTCTATTTTATATAGATTTCAAAGTGTGTTTCGAAAAGAAAGGAGTATTTTTTCCTTGATTATTGTCAACTCAAGAAAGATAACGACATAATTTAAAGAATAAAATTTCTTTTACTATTATCAGATTTCTTTCCGACCTTATAACATTCACGATCGGCAAATATTTTTTCAAAATTGATCCTTTCGAATTTTCTATTGTTTCCATCTAAATTTGTTATTTAACAAACCATATATCATGAAGCTTGCTCATACATTCATTAGTATTAGTAAAAGACTAGTACGCTTAAAGTGCAAAAACTTAACATAATCAATATAAATAATCAAATAGCAATCGAGAGCCATATCGGAGGCAGGGAAGTTTATAAAGCAAAAAAGAATTTTCGAATAGTGTTTGAAATGCTGAAATAAAATTTGATGCCCAAATTGGACATGTTTAGAAATATCTTTATTCATATCTTTGAAGTTATTAAATTTAAAATATTATTTAATTCAAGTAGAGTAAAAAAGAAAAAATCAACTCATATTTGATAATTCTAAGTGTAAAAAAAAAAAGTAGTGTGCCTAAAATTCTTGTAGACATGTAGAGTGGCTTGTGGGCACTCCTTTTTTAATTAGCTTAGTAATAAAGTTTATACTAACATTTACTTTTGAACGTTTTTGGCATTTAAGATATAAGTAATCACTCCTATTAAATCATTAAAATAATTATTACAAAAATATATTTCCTTTGCTAACACTACAAGAAGTAATTAAAGACAAACCTCCTTTTCATTTTTTTTTTTCCTTCAATCAATTTCGATATTTCACGTGATACACTTTCTTTTTAATCGACTAAAAAATAATAATTAAAATAATATATCTTCACATAAGAAAACAATTAACGGTATACTTTTTGATTATCTTAAATGGAAAGCTTTTTAAAGCTATACAAATATTATGACAACGTTTAATGTCATAAGTTTTCAATATTTGAAAGAAAAATCTATATAAACTTATTGTTCTTCCAAAATACTAGTTCACTTATCCAAATTTGATCTGAAATAAATTCCTATCTCCAATTCCGTAAAGTGTACTATTTAAATTATATACAAATATTTTTGAGATAATCTTTCTTATTTACTTATTTAAGATTAAAAAATAAGTACTCCCTCGATCACAAATATGAATCATGAAAGTAATTTCTAACTCATTTTTCATTAAAAAAATATTTTTTTCAATATCAAACATACACTAAATACACAATTAAACGTCATAAATCACCAACATATTATGTGATGGGATGATTCGGGATCCCTTCCTATTTAGAATTGCATTATATATAGCTTTGGCTTTTCGTCCATCGAAAAGATTTTTTCTGCGAAATATTTTGGTTAATTAACAAAATTCACGGCACTGAAAACTATTGAAGGATCACCACCCATCTTCATTTTTTATACAATCTTGGTAAAATACAATTTTGTGCATAATTTGTTGAAACTATAAACAAAATATTGTTAAGAATGACTATAAAAATTATTTTTAATTTGTGAATCTTATTATTATTACGGAGTTCAGCTTTCAAGATTGGATTGGTGTTTCAATAGGCGAGATGTATGAAGTCGACAATTACTATCTCAAAAATGATTTTAGTAGCAATTAATTAATGATAATAGTTTAATCGCTAATAAAAACATATTTTTAACGGTATTTAACACTCTTTGTAAATGTTCCTTAGGGTTATAGTGACACTGGATCCAATGAAAATAAATTGATGTCAGTAAAGACTTTATCACTCTTTGTTAATATGTATATTTATTATCGCTAAAAATCATTTTTATTGTTATTTTTCTTTTGAAAAATGATAGATTTCAAATAAGTAAAGTACATGACGGACAATCCTATATTAACCTATTGTTTTGAGGAGTACTATAATTGTCCAATAAAAAGAATTTCAATTTTCAAAATGAAAAAAGATAACTAAATAGGCAACGATTGTTTGGATAACTCTTTTCTAGAAAGAATAAATAATAAATAGACAAAAGGAGAGGCTTGAATTCTCTTCTTAATAGAATCAATGCTTATTCTTCTCTTTACTAGTATTTCTTAAATAAGGTATGATTTTTTTCTATTCCTATTAAAAACGAATGGAAGAATACATAATTTCACTTGTGGATTTAATCGAGTTATAAATCCTATGACACAACAATGAGATTTTCTAAAAAGTCCACTTGAAAATTGGTGGATCTCGACAAAAAATATATAAGTTATTTAAAGTTGTTTCGTTGAGAATAGAATCAACGGTGAGTTGTGGATAAAGATATTCTTTAGAGGATCTCTACCTTTTAAGTTTAAGGTCGTGTGTAAAAAAATATAATTTTGCAATTGGTGATATCACTTTGAGATTTAAGGTCGATAAGTATTTCAAGCGTAAAATTTTGTATATCATGCCATTATGATTGAAAGTTGAAACACATAATTTAACGACACACACAATTTGACCATAATTGCTATTTAATATTTTTATTGAAATCTCAATTAATTCGAATATCACCTAAAATCAATTCAAGATGAAAAATGCTTTCTAACAGTTGTTTCACCATGCATCTCTTCAAGTTCTTTCCTGTTTTGGGGGTTGTCTTATTTCCAAGGAGTTGTTTGGTATGAGAAACTGAGTAAACAAAGTTATTCTATGAATCGAGATTTCTCGTGACTAAATTATCCCACCAAATTATATATATGATAATTTATTTTTTCATTAATTTATTATAGTGTAAATAGTGGATGCATATAGTGTAAATAGTGGATGCAGCGAAATTAGAATTTTCATAAGAGAGTTCAAAATATGAAAAAGTAAATATTCAAAGAAGTTGAATGTGTTTCAATATCTACTATATATATACATAAAATATAATTTTAACCATTTAAAAATAGTGGAATTTTATATCGAGACTTATTAATATCTCTAATAAAAAATTGGATAAAATAATACACTTTTATCGATAAAATATTATTCCTTTTCTCTTGTACCAAACGATTCCTTAGAACTTATTTGTATGAGGAATAAGCGATAATTAATTTGAAATTAATTCTATGATGAATTTATCCCATATTTAATTATGATAAAAATATATAATAACTTATCCCAAAATTAACTATTTCAGGATTGTAATATAACAATAGTGAAATAATTAATTTTGAAAAAACTCATTCCAAGATCAAACTAATTCTTAGAGTATTAAATATTGATTTTTTTCATTAGAAGAATAATAATGTAGCTTAGGTGACATTGAACAAAAGTAATCAATAAGGGTTGTGGTGGAGTGGTAAGTAGTCTTTCACCCTTAATTAAGATGTCTCGGATTTGAGTCCCCTTGAGCATGAAGTCGCCTTTGTTAGGATCTTAAAAAACGTTTTACCTCTAATGTGGGA